TTTGCGCAAAAAAGCCCCGATCGCGAAAATGGCAATCAGGGCTTTTTTGCGGAAAAGCGTGTCTAAATTGGCACGGACACTTTTCTGCAAAAAGTGCTTTTGTGGAAAAGCGTCCATGCCAATCTAGATGCTCTTTTCCACAAATGCTTTTAATGGAAAACTTTTCCATTAAAAGCATTTGCGGAAAATCATGTCAGTCTAGACGTAGCCCAGATGTTCTGTTATTTTCCATATTAGTGCCTCAGCATTAACTTTAGATAGAACTCCAGAACTTCTTGGATAGACAGCAGCTCATTGAAGCTCCTGGCCTGTGCATGTTTACATGTCAAAATAGTCTTTCAGCCATGCAGCAGTAGCTTTACAGAAAAGTGTCTCTGAAAGCTGCTTTTGATATGCCCCATGCAGGTACTGGGGCGGGGTGGGGTTTCTTGGCCCCAGAATTTGCATGGGGCATATCAAAAGCAGCTTTCTATCCAGAGACTTTGCTGCAGCTTTACCAAAGCAGGCAGGTTAGGTCTGGGGAACAGAGGAGATGAGGGGATTAGGATGAGCCGGCCCAGGGCTCCTCTGGCGGGGTGGGGACACTTGGGAGTTTCTCTGGGAAGTGGGCCTTGTGGCCCCAGCTGAGGGAGGGAGCAGAGGGCCCACTGATTTCTGCCCTGGCCCCCAAATGGTGATTCACCCAATGGACCTGGGTAAACTCTGGTGAGTAAAAAGGCTTTCGAATTCCTGGGCTAAATCTTAAAGCCTTGCTCTCTCACTATGACTCTCATAGATGGTTTTACCCTAGTAAGTCCTGAGGGATTTGGCCCACTCCCAAGAAGTGATTAATGCTACTGTCTGACTCAGGTTAGCCCTAAGCTTGGCTGACACAGACACCCAATGGAAGCTCCAGATCCTGCTGCTTCACTAAAAACTTCTCCCTGGTTTGCACAAAAGAGAAGAGAAGAGAAGAGAACAGATGTGAGAGGACATGGGAGTGGGGCTTGAGCTCTTTATGATTTTTTTCCTGCACCATTTGCATAGCCATAAGTAAAGGTCATTTCAGGGTCGGTCCTGGCACCCCATGTCTGCAGCCGTACAGTCCTGAATAGCCCCGTCGATACTTAGGCAGCCTATCAATCAGTGTTCATCTGTGTGACTGCGTGGTCACGGGAGCTGCATTCAGCCTCGCCTAGTGGAGAGGCACAGCCCACAGGGACTAAAAGCCAGGAGTTACTGTTCCCTTGTGGAACCAGATAATAGTATTATGCGTCTCTGTTAAAATAGTTTCTCTAGTCTGGTCCCACAGAATTGTACTTGGTGCATTTTCTAATCAAATTTGATTTTCTCACCGGCTTTCCACACCGAAACCTTGTCGTGCTGCATCAGTGTTCACGGGTGAAACCCACTGGCCCAGTGACATTAACCTCACTTTGTGCATGTGAAGTAGGTGAGTTATTATTGCCTCCATTTTGCAGATGGGGAAACTGAGACCCAGGGAGGCAACATTATTTGCCCAAGGTGTACAGCAGGGGTGGAGGAGCTTTGTTGGGTCGGGGGCTGCTGACCGAAAGAAAAATCAGTCGGGGTGACCCACAAGTGATAAGAAAACAAAAAACAAAACAAAAAAACCCCCAACCCCCCCAAACCCACAAAAAACCACTCACTGATTGGAAAAGATGCTCCCCATAGTCCCCTCACACAGCAGAGCCTGGGGGGAACCAGGCTAGTATATTTTGTGTGCCCCAGCCCCACAGCCTGCACCAGCACAGGCTCCCCAATGCTGGGGGGGCGCTGAACCTCAGGAACTGGATCAACACAAGCCAGGGGCTGCATCCCGCCTCTGGGCCTTAGGTTCCCTACCCCCGGTGTACAGGAAAGTTTGCAGCTGGTTTGTTAAAGTGAGGCCCGTTGATTCAAAAGGGCTGGTGTCTCCTGGCCACCCCTGCTGCTACTATGGTAATGGGGGTGCCCAGAGCCCCAGACCATTTAAATCATCGCTAGTGTCACGCAGTGCGCTGTAGGCAGTGCTGGGCTGGCACTGAGGACAGGCTGCCCTGCCCTCACCGCTTTTGGGACCATGGAGCCACCCTCCCTCCTCACTCTACCCAGCACCCTGGCGAGACTGTCAGCTCCCCCGGTCACAGTTCAGTTCTGGGCCTTCACCACAAGACCACCCTCCCTATCGCTAGCCTGTTTGAGAGCCCCATGAGATGATCCGCTGATCCCAGCTGGATTTGGGGGATGTGAGAAGATCAGATTGAGCCCTAACCAGCAAATTTCATTCATTTAAACCATTTTTGAAAAGCAGCCATTCTCTAAAGGGCTTTCTTAGTAGACTTTTATATCCAAAAGATCGCTTGAAAGCCAATTCAGGTTCCTTTTTCTTTGTAGGCAGAACTAAGCACATGTGGTGGAAGGTTTGACTTTATCATGGTTCCTTGCATAGTCATCTGCAGCAGTCTGGAGCACTTATGAGAAGACAGACGAGTCTCTTTTTGTTTCATTTCTTCTCCTTGAGTTGCCTTCAAAATTTGCAATGTAAAGAACAGCTCAGGAAACTCAGGGGAGATGACAGTAATCAATACACAGCTCATTTGGCACCCAATGGAAGCATCATCAGATCAAATTCAGATCTCAGATCACACCCCAGTCTTACACCCCCACACATTTCCTCTTGTCATAGCCTAAAATCAGCACTTAAGGGCAAAGGATAATTCTTTGCACTATGGCCTGTTCTATACAAAGTTGTACATATCAAACTAAAGGTGCAATTTGATAGTACATTAGTGCAATTTTGTGGGGGACAGTCTTCTCTTGGTTTAAATCAGGTTGATGACAATTTTGCTCAGGTATGAGCACTTGCAGCTCCTGTTGGCCACGATCACTGTTGCTGGCCAATGGGAGCTGCAGGAGATGGCTCTGCAGCCAATGGGAGCTGTAAGCCCTCGTAACTGAAGAGGCCCTGGTAAATAAAGTGGTGGTGTCCTACCAGGGGCTAACCCTGGTGAACCACCATCATCTTATTGCCCACCCCTGGTTTAGCTTGTGCCACAAACTATACACGGGATTATGCCACTTATAAAGTGCTACAAACCAGATGCGATGTAAGTGTGTCCAAATACAAAGAAGCATCCGAATGATAAGTTCTTTGGTTTTCATGAGGACTCCCAGGGTTACCACACTACAAATAAAGTGATTCATGTTCAACTGATGAAATTTCTATGTGTAGACAAGACCTTATGTCACACCTTTAATTCCAGGAGTTAAAAGCATTTTGCTAACATTAATGAACAAAGCCTCGTCCTACCCATGGTTAGGCAGACAAATATCTTTATCCCCTTAGGTGGTGAAACTGAGACACAGCAAGGTCAGTATCAGGCCTAGAACCCAGGAATCCTGATTCTCAGTGCCATACGCTACAACTGTGGTTCGCAAAGTATAGTCCATGAACCGCTAGTGGTCCCTGACTATCTTGCAGGTGGGCTGCAGGCTTGGGGCTTGATCCTGCCCTGCAGCGAGGTGCATGCACTGGCACTCCAGTCCCGGCCTCCCTGCAAGGCTGGAGCACCATTGCCAGCTACCTGAGTCTTGCAGGACAGATCCCACTTGTGGGGGGAAGAAGCGGCTCAGCATGCTGCAGTTTCCCCTCCCCCTGGCTGGGGGAATGGCAGCTCAGGAAAGCTCTTGCCTGGAAGCTTTCCCCGCTGCTCCCATTGGCTGGAATCCTGGCCAATGGGAGCAGTGGGGGGCAGTATCTGGAAGCAAGGGGGGCACAGAGCCAGGTAAGTGCCCCCATCTCCCTCATGCCCAAACTCCTACCCCATCATCCTCACTCACAACCCTCCTGTGCAGACTCCCACCCCCAGCTTGCTCCTGCACCCTCCCTCCTGCACTGACTCCCCCACCCCAGCCCACTCCTGCACCCACTTTGTCATCATGGGTGGTTGGCTTGTGGTCCACGGAAAGGTTTGTGTTGTGTGGGGTTGGCATCGTGTCAGGTGTCCATGTTCAAATATGGAATTTCCTTGCTAGACAAGACCAGGAAGCTGCATTTTCTTGGGGGTCTGCAGGAAGGAATCCCTGGTTTAAAATTATTTGTTTTTATTAAGAGATCCCCTCCCCCGAGACACATTCTTTTCCTTTTCACTGACCCTTCCATAGGTCTCTGGCTGGGCTCTGAGATCTCTGAGGCCAAAGGTTTGTGGTTTAAACAAATGGGGTTTCCCTGGCAGACTGGGGAATCCCATTGGCTTTGCCCACAGTCGGCATTGCCAGTGCCACTTGACACTGCCAGGAGGCTACAGGGAGTGTAAACACCAACGCACAACCACCCACTCAGCCCCAGTTAATGCAAGACCAGCACAGCAGCAGCACGGACTCAGCTGCAGCTGCACAAGAAGCTGGGCTGGAAAGTCACATCTCAAGGAGCATGCTCAGGGCCCCAGAATTTCCTGGCCAAGGGTTGCGGTAGCAGTAGATAGCCCCCGGACTTCCCTGCACCCGGACAAACTAACACAGGGAGAGCAGCTTCGCTGTGGCGCCTGGTTCTGAAATACCCCAGCCCAGCTGTAGAGCTAGGAGCGTAGCCCTCGATCCAAAATCATTCAGCACAGGGCAGTGGCTTCAGAGAGCAGGAAAGGCGGGCTTTCAGGAGCTAGCTCCTCATCACACATGCTCCAGCACTGGAACAGTGGGACCAGGGAGTTCAGGGCATAAGACAGGTGGGACTAGGAGGAGGCAGGTTCCACCTAGCCTAGATGCGACTTCAGTGCACAAACTGGCTCTGGCTGCTAAGTCTGTCATTAGAAACCTGCGTCTGATTGATCAGGTGCCTTTTGAACCCCGGGGAGATGGTGTTCTGCTCCAGCTGCTTGGGATTGAGATGGTACTGGCCGTCGAGGGAGTTCAGGCCACCCCTGCCCTTTCTTCCACATCTCCTGTCCCTCGTTGTCCCAAGAGAGGATCTGGGGACCATCAATGGCTATTTTACACTCCCCTCCCCGAGATGCCCCCCCGGCGGCAGCAATGCTGCCTGGCAGCTGATTCACACAGTCCCCATTTACTGGGTTCCTTGGATAGATGTGGCACTTACACAGAACCCCATCCCCACAGCACGCTGCAGGACAGCTGTTGCCTGCCTGAACACGGCGTCTCCCACTCTCAGTTTCTGATGCCCCCAGCCTGCTCTCAGAACACTGGCAATGTTCCTTCTGCCTTCCTGTAACACAGCAGCCTGCCCCCTGCAGGTGCAGGGACCAGATGCAGGCAGCTTGCAGCACCCTCTGGGAGCTAGTAACTCTCCCAGCATGTGAGTGGGGCTGCTGGAGAAGCTGCCTCCACTTTCTGCCCCAATGCAGAGTCCTGGTCATACAGTGTGTGATTCCACCCACTGGCAGAGGCGCCTGGCATAATCCGAGGGGCTGACAGTGGAGAAGGTCTGTCCCCGGTACCAGATGCATTTCCACAGGTGCTCGAGCTTCTTGCGGAAGGAGTACACGGTGAACAGGTCGATGATGCCCATGAAGTAGCGGAACTGTGGCCCATCCAGCAAGTGCAGAGGGCTCTTGCATCTGGGCAGCAGGCGTCGGTTCTGGGCCAGGATCTGGGCCAGCTCAGTATCAGACATGGCGCTGTTTCGGAGGCCCACGTCCTGCATCCCGGAGTACCGCTCACGCAGTCGGTAGAGGTCAGCTTCTCCCATCATCTCAGACACCAGCATGTCTGACTCCTCCTCCAGGATCCCTGACATCGAGGTGGGCTGGCAGCTCCCGAGGTTGTTCAAGGACCTGCAGCAGGGAAAGACCAGGACAGCGAATGGGTGAGATCTTGGGGACACTCCATATCAAAGTGCCAGGAACCAGAGGCAGGTCTGCAAGTTCCCCACTGACTTGGTTCCTTGGAGGCTCGCAGGTTCCTGAGATTCAGTCAGCTACAGTCACAGACTGTGGGTCTGATTCTCAGTTACACGAAGAGGTTGTTCAAGGACCTGCAGCAGGGAAAGACCAGGACAGCGAATGGGTGAGATCTTGGGGACACTCCATATCAAAGTGCCAGGAACCAGAGGCAGGTCTGCAAGTTCCCCACTGACTTGGTTCCTTGGAGGCTCGCAGGTTCCTGAGATTCAGTCAGCTACAGTCACAGACTGTGGGTCTGATTCTCAGTTACACGAAAGCCCCTTTATGCC